AGGTGACCATGACCTTGTGTACAGTTTTCATTGAGTATTTGGTTCCATCCAACAAGTTCCAAAGGATGCCGAGAAACTGCAGGGAAGCACATTTCAGTGAGAACACCAGGAACATGTGCCAATGCCAAGAGCTGAAGTCAGGCCAATGGCAGCCCGGGGGAGCGGCTCCTTGTCCGTGGTGGCCCCACAGAAAGGCTCGCCGAAGCCCCGCCCAGCTGCCCCGCGGACATAAGACTGAAGAGCAAGTGCTGCGGGACTAGGAGCAGAGGGGGGGTGTCCTCACGTGGACGGGAGCACATGCAATCCACTCGGCCATCACAGCCAAGCTCCAGCGGCTGCACCGAGTTTCCGAGCCTGCTCCGCCTGCCCTCGGCTTCAGTGCAGCCTTGGCACCTGCCTGCTCCAGCCTCCACTCTGGCCAGCCTCTCCAGGCGCTGCGCTCCATCTCCCGGGGTGCCAGCTTGCTCCCGGCCCGGCTTCGCCCCACCAGAGTCTGCCCTCACTTGCCAGGGGGCCTTCCTTTTCATGACCTCCCAGCAGCCCGCCCTGGCGCTCTCTCTGGCCACAAGTGCCTTCTGCCCACATCCAGGTGTGGATGCTCACCTGGACCCAGCTTTGATGTCTCGACACCCACCTCTCCTTTTCTCGTCTTACAAAAAGGTTTATTAAACGGAAGAAGAACTCAGCGCATATCAGACCGCCTACTCTCTTTCCACGGTGCAGGTACGGTCAACTGCTTCTTCCCACCCTCCACGCTGGACACAAGTGCCCCTCCTTAAAGGGATTTCGGCTTCCATCCTTTCCCCGTATTATTTTGCCATTTGCTTTCAACTGGAGACAGCAAGCGGCCACTCGATTTGCCATATGCGTCCCTCTTGCATGTGTAGAGGTCCTTTCCATCCTGTTTCCCCTTCTTTAAAAACAATAACACTTAAAGCCTGAATTCACACTTGCATTGTCTTTAAATGAGTCTGAAAGCGTCTTTTCTTTCCAAACACTTGTTTCGAGACAGATGGCTCTATGGGGAAGCGGGCTGTGCCCAAAAATACATTCAGACGTGCACAGTTCGGGGGATCATGGAGTGCCGATCCACAGAACAGTCTGGGAGGGACGTGGAGTTCAGTCCACGCAGCCCCGGGATCAGAGGTCTGACAGAGCTGTAAAGTCCCTTCCTCACCTGATGTGGTTCGCACCTTTCCCTGACTCATTCTGAGCTGGGCACGCTGCTGCCCCTCACATGTCTGTACCAGAGACTCGGTGGTACAGGTTTCCTCACATCAGAAAGACTGAGGGCATCCATCTTTTGCCCCTTGCCTAATCAGAAGGGGGGATTCCAATATTTGTAATTCAGAACAGCCCTCTCCTTTAAGTTGCTGCCTGGCCCGGCCCAGCTGAAAAGGAATCCACATTTAATTCTCAGGGTGATAAGGGATAAATTCGTCAAGCTTGCACAACATAAACAAAAGATAAGAACTGGGATAGCTTAGATTGCCTGCGTTGCTTCCTGTCACTCATAGCTTTAGTTCTCAACATAAGGACTTCTTGCTTGCCAGGTAACTTTCAATTCACTGCTCGCTCTCTCTCTCTCTCTCTCTCTCTCTCTCTCTCTCTCTCTCTCTCTCTCTCTCTCTCTCTCTCTCTCTCTCTGTTGTCTCAAAGAATGAGGTGTCCTTGATTCTTATATCATCTTGGGAACAAACTCACAAGATGGCCTCTGGGGTACCCACTCCGGAACCCCCTGGCCTAACTCCCTTTACCCCTGTCAGTTTCCCCATTTCTTGTGTAAGAGTTCTCTGCACTGCATCCTAAAAGGCTGAAATGCCCCCTCCCCGCCAGGCAGTTACAGCTTCAATCTGCAATGCCATTTGCAGCTTTTGAACAAAGGCCCCCCGAACTGTTTCCCTGGAATTGCACCAGCCCTTGGGCTGAAAGAAGTGCCCTGCCCCGCTTTGGAAAACGGCCCCCTTCCGTCCTTGCAGTCCCAGAGCTCCCCGGCCAGCACCTTAACCTGCAATACGAAAAACTGCAATACTTAATCTGCAATTTGAGATGAACAGAGAGGAAGGTGCAGTGTAGGGCTATCTCAAGTATCACTGTGCAGTGCGTTGAGCATTACGGTAGTAACACTTGGCAGAACAGCTCTCGCAACTTCCCTCTGCCTGACCCCATAACCCAGCTCTCTGGCTTGCCTCGGACGGCCAGCCCCAAGAAAGGCTTGCTTGGGGGCGATGGGGAGCAGGGCCTTTTCACTGGCCCCCCCAGCTCTAATTAGTTTAGTGAGGCTTTGTTTAGCGGCTTAAAGCAGTTGCTTGATTAATTTATAAAGGCTAATGTAAATTCTTTATATATGGTTTGATTCGATTTTACATTTTGTATGGTACCCCTTTTCGCGATGTTTTTAATGTTGTTTGTATTTTATGCTGCTGTTCCATGTGCAGGCGTAAACCGCCCAGAGAGCTCCGGTTACAGTGAGGCATAGAAATTAGATAAATAGAATAGATATAAATAAATAAATCCAGCCATTCCTAAACCTGCTTTCTATAACCTCTAATATGTGACCTGGGACTTCTGCAAAGCAGGGAAGAGATAAGCAACAGGCCCTTTGAGTCTTCGCATGAGCCTCACAGCAAGAAATTCTGGCATGTGAATCTAAGCCACGTTCAGCAGCATCATAAACACGTCTCAGATCATGCATGCTAAGCTCTTTGAACATTCAAAAGTGCCATATTCTGCATCATCATCAATCATTCTGCAATGAAGACTTCAATGGGGGCATTTAGAGTGGGATTACTTAGCGATCACTGCTGGGGGTGTGCCAGTCCTTTCTCCAGAGTGGTTCCGCATGCTGTTTTGGGAGCATAAGAATTCGGGAACCATGTGGAAAGGGGAGGATCCGAGCAGAACCATGCAAGCATCAGGGCTGGACCACGGGAGACTTGCATATCCCCCCCGCCACATCCCACCAACACAATCCTGCTTCTTCCTTACGATTTCTTGATTTCTGCATTTTCCGGAGTGATGTGAGAAGGAGCCATGAGGACGGTGTTCCAGCACTGCTCGGGGAGGAGCGTGCTGGCTCTTAGGTGTCCACTCTGACTCCCCGTAGTTTAGACGGGCAGGTATTCAGAGCTGTCCTTTTGCCTCTGAAACTGTAGAGCAGTGGTGGCGAGCCTACAGCACGCGTGCCACAGCGGGCAGGCAGAGCCCTCTCGGTCGGCACGCGAGCCAAGTCTCCCCAGCATCGCCCCAGCAGCCGAGCATCGGATAACAGCGCACACGGGGGCCATGCGCATGCTCGGAAAGGAGTAGTGGCGCCAGGGGATGACGTCACAAGCCGCGACTCACTGGCCACGACGTGTCCGAGCTTTCGCATGGCAGGTCAGTGCGCTGCCATTTGCTTGGACTGGCCGTGAGGTGTTTTTTCTAAACTAAGACCTCAGTTTTCAGGTTTTATTGCAGTGTTGGCACTTTGCGATAAATAAGTGGGTTTTGGGTTGCAGTTTGGCCACTCGGTCTCTAAAAAGTTCCCCACCACTGGGTTAGGGTTGGAAAAATGAGGTGTCCTGGCATGATTTTGATGGCTGGAATGTGTTTAGAATGGACAGAGATGATGAGGTGTGCAGAAAAAGCCACTCAAGGAAGGTTTTTTTCAAAATCGCCCTATTTTTAATGGAACTTCCCCCCTATATTAGGGTTAGGGGGGTGCACCAGGGTGGGGTTAGGGTTACAAAAATGAGGTGTCCTGGCATGATTTTGATGGTTGGAATGCGTTTAGAATGGGCAGAAATGATGAGCTTGCAGAAAAAGCCACTCAAAGGAGGCTTTTTCAAAATCTCCCGCTTTTCAATGGAACTTTCTCCCCATATTAGGGTTAGGGGTGTGCACCAGGGTAGGGTTAGGGTTAGGAAAACGAGGTGTCCTTGCGTGTTTCCGATGGTTGGGATGTGTTTGGAAGGGGCAGAAAGGATGAGCTCTGCAGAAAAAGCTACTCAAGGAAGGTTTTTTCAAAATCGCCCCCCTTTCAATAGAACTTTAGCCCTGTATTAGGGTTAGGGGTGTGCACCCGGGTAGGGTTAGGGTTAGCAAAACAAGGTGTCCTGGCATGATTTTGATGGTTGGAACATGTTTAGAAGGGGCAGAGATGATGAGCTGTGCAGAAAAGGCTACTCAAGGAAGGCTTTTCAAAAGCGCCCTCTTTTCAATGGAACTTTTGCCCTGCATTAGGGTTAGGGGTGTGCACCAGGGCAGGGTTAGGCCAGTGGTGGAGAACCTATGGCACGCATGCCACAGTGGGCATGCAGAGCCCTCTCTGTCAGCACGTGAGCCAAGTCGCCCCGGCATCGCCCCAGCACCGCGACTCATTGGCTGTGACTCATCCAGGCCAGCGCATGGCCAGTCAGTGTGCTGCCAAGGATATAAATATAAATTTGTTTGGTCCAACTGTGAGTTGTTTTTTCTAAACCAAAACCTCAGTTTTCAGATTTTATTGCAGTTTTGGCACTTTGCGATAAATAAGTGGTTTTTGAGTTGCAGTTTGGGCACTTGGTCTCTAAAAGTTTCGCCATCACTGCTCTAGATGTTTGAGGCTTGCAATGAAGAGCTGGAATCCATAACTTCATGGAGGGATCCTCCTCGGACACTAATGGTACCCCTTGTTCTTGGAGTAGATGTTCCCAGCATACATTGCTGAGCTATGGATTTCAGCAGTCTAGAGGAGCATGCTCCTTCCAGAGCATACAGGTGCTCTTGAATATGTGGATTGCAGCGATGAAAAACGTTATGCATGCGTATCTGGTACATCAAAAAGGACAGTGGATGTGTGTTGCGCAATGGGAAAAGTTTAGGGTAGCTGATTTCTGGCAAAGTCTAAGCTAAGGAATTCCGTCTACGGTGACTGAAAGCGTGTTTCAAAAGGTTGCCCACACCACGCCTCTTGCAACGATATCTCAGGGGCTTAGCAACCAAGATGATCTTTCAGAAAGAAATGCAAATATACTCACAGGTCGATGGATCTTGATAGTATCACGGACAGCGTCAGTAGAATGCACCCGTACGGTCCAATCTCGAACTGCAAAGCAAGGGGAGGGGCAGTAAGAACGGCACAGTGTCGAGGGGCGATTGCACACCTGTCCTTCAGGACCCAAACGGGTATTCATTTACTGCTCCTGCATTTTAGCCATTTCTATTTGGCCTTTCCAAAATGAGGACGTCCGTGCTGAACACTTCCTAAGTATTCCAGCCATAACTGATTTCAGTGTCCTGTATTCAGAGTGTTGGTTAGAGCAAGAATGCTGAAACTCTGGTCTCCGGATTTCTTTGGTCCACAACTCCCATCATCCCCGGCATCAGCTCTGTAGGCTGAGGCTGATGGGAAGTATAATCCAACAAGCGCAAGACCACAGATTCCCTTACCCCTCCGATACGCAAAGCTACCAGATGAATGCAGGCACACGTTGTTTGCATCGGCAACTGCTCTCCAGGGACCGATCCAGCCCGGCTGCTGAGGGTCCACAGCTGGAAAATCCAGGACTGGGCAAAGCAGAGTGCTGTGGCCCTGGGGGTTCAGCTCCGGAGCGGCACAGGTGCTCCCACCCAAATCACGAGCAGACCAACGCTGCTTTGGTTCTACGAGAAAGTAAGCAACTGGCTTTGTCTGAAGGATCCTTCCGAAATCCGCCAAGATCCGGAGGGGCAGCCCTGGGCGGTGTAGCCCAAGCATCCGAACAACACCAGGCTGGGCACGATGCGCTGCACGCAGCCGCTCTCCCGGACGTGAACGGAAGAGCCACACCGAGCTGAATGCCAGGCCAACTGGGAACAGAAAGGGAGCCCTGCGGGACAGGCAAGGGCGCATCCTGCTCTCCCAGTGGCTGCCCAGCTGCCCGGCCAGAAAGCCATAAGCAGGACGGGAGCACAAAGCGCCACCTGGCCCAAGCTCCCAACGGCTGCTGTATGTGGGCATCCTGCCTCTGGCCTGGGAGGGAGCCGATATCCATCAGGGCTGGCAGCCAAGCAATGCCTTATTTATTAGATTCTCGCACCCCCTTCTCCTTTTTTTTTAAGAATTCAAGGCTCTGCATTATTCCCCTATGGCCACTTAGCCCCCAGCGACCACCCTGCAAGGTAGGTTGGGCTGAGAGCCTGTGCCTGGCCCAGTCATCCAGTGGGCTCCCTGGCTGAGCGGGGACTCGAACCCGGACCACCTGAGCCCCAGACCTGCGCTCTTAACCACGACGCCACACTGGCTCTCACTGCTTATCCCCTGTGAATGAGTCCAGTCCCCTTTTAAAGGCATCACTGCATCTCTCAGAAGCAAATTCCATCTCTTAACTACAGTGTTGTTGTTCGTTGCGAAGTCAGGTCCGACCCATCGCGACCCCATGGACAACACTCCTCCAGGCCCCCCTGTCCTCCACCATCCCCCGGAGTCCACCTAAGCTCACACCAACTGCTTCAGTGCCTCCATCCAGCCCCCTCATCCTCTGCCGTCCCCATCTTCTTTTGCCATCTATTGTTCTCAGCATTAGGCTCTTCTCCAGGGAGTCCTTCCTTCTAATTACGTGGCCAAAGTATTTGAGTTTCATCTTTAGGATCTGGCCTTCTAAAGAGCAGTCGGGGTTGATCTCCTCTAGGACTGACCGGTTTGATTGCCTTGTGGTCCAAGGGACTCGCAGGAGTCTCCGCCAGCACCACAATTCAAGGGCCTCAATCCTTCGGCGCTCAGCCTTCCTTAAGGTCCAGCTTTCACAGCCATACATTGCAACTGGGAAACCCATAGCCTTGACTGTACGCACTTTTGTCGGCAGGGTGATGTCTCTGCTTTTTAGTGTGCTGTCTAGACTTGCCATCGCTTTCCTCCCAAGGAGCAAGCGTCTTTTAATTCCTTGGATGCAGTCCCCGTCTGCGGTGATCTTGGAGTCCAGGAAAATAAAATCTGTCGTTCCCCGAAATTCACAGGGGTTACGTTCCCAAAGCACCAGCAAATTGTGAAAAACCACAAATTTGCTGCCGGCAACGGGCGCTGGCCGCCAAAGCAATGCAGGCAGGGGGCGCAGGCCGGGCCGGGCTGGGGGGGCGGGCACGCGTGTGTGGCGAGGCTGGGGTGTGCACACACAGAGATCGTTTTCTCTGAGCGAGTCCAAACTTGGAGGAAATGATCTCCTTGCGAGTAAGCGAGGCGCAGGCTTACTCGCAAGGAGATTGGCTTGGACTCGCTCGGAGAAAAATCCCGTGAAAGACTGAAGCCACAAACGCTGGACCGCGACTTCACAGGGGTACACTGCATGCGCTACGTCCCGAAGTACTTTCTTTTATCTTTTACCTTCTGTTATCCCATGTCATTCTACAAGCCAGGATAACCCTTGGGGTTCTAGGGATATGAGCCAAGGAAACCTCTCTCCGTGCTTTCTCCACACCATGCCTCATTTTTATTTAAACGTCATTTTAATTGTTCATATTATTTGCTTATTTTATCTGGCGAAGCAACTTATTTTATATTTGGATGTATTATATCTTAATTTTATGTTGCGAGCCGTCCCGAGGCTTCGGCAAATGGGGCGGCATAGAAATGTTTTAAATAAATAAATTTGGTAGCCCTCGCATCACGCCTCCCCTTTACTTGCTTTTTTGCTCAGCCAAACCATCCTAGATGTGTGTAACCTTTCCTCACAGGGAACTGCTTCATCTCCTTGATCATTTTAGCTGCCCTTTTCTGAATTTTCCCCAACTCTACACTATCCCTTTTCAGTGCCATAGCCAGAACCGTGCACAGAATTCTTAGTATGGCTGCCCCGTAGATTTATATAAGGACAGTTGATCTTGGCAGTTTCATTCTCAGCTCCTTTCCTAATTGGGCCTACAATGGAATTTGCTTTTTCCACAGAATTTCACACTTTTCCATTAATGGATTACATTACAGGGTCATCCTCTGCTTTTTCATTGCTGCGTTGCCAATTATTTGCTTCCTTGGTTTTTATTTTGTATTTTATAATGTTGTCCTGAGAATATATGCAAGGAAAGGGAAAAAAGAAACATGATAAATGCACACAGAGACAGATCATGTTTGCATTTTGCTGGCCTGCAGAGGTTCACAGAACTGTATGACGGCACCCATTTCCTGGATAAGCCTCGTACCTCATGAATATGTTGTTGGAGAAACATCAGTAGGTCTTCATAGGTTGTGAGGAAGTGCAACTTAAGCTGTGAAGAGAAGATTGGAGGGTGATGTTCATGCAAAAGTGAATCAATCCGCATCCATAGGTACACAGGAGTGGAGTCAGAACCTGGGTCCAGCAGTCCCCCAAGGTTCAGGGAATATTCTTTTCTTGTCTACTGGGAGACTGAACCCAGGAACTTGTGCATGCAAAACTTATGGGCTTCCTCTCAGGTAAGGCCCTTTAAGGGCCCAGGTAACCAGTCAAATTCCAGGTAAGAACCCCTCAAAAGAAATATATTTGGCCTTGAGTGAGGCCAAGTCACGGTTAGCTTGGCCTAGTTGGAACAGAACTCTGAGTTGTCCAAAGCAGTTCCCTGGGATGCTCTTTCCCATCACAGGTAAGGTAAGATGCTGTCTTGGACCAGGTGTGCAAACCCAGGTCTGCCTAGTCCAGCCTGAGGCCTTATAGATATATTGGGACCACGGTGCACATGCTTGCTGGGAATTATGGGCGTCGTGATCCCAGTGGATCAGGAAGGGCCACCAAGTTGCAAACCACAGACTGGCAACTGGCTCCTTACATGGCTCTCCCAGTCCTTTAACTGGGTGTGCAAACCATGAGTTCTCTCAAGCCAAGATCCCTTCCCCACACGTCCCGCTGGATGGAAGCGGTCCTCCACCCACTGCCGGGAAGATGGGGGCCTTGCGCCGGAGGAGCTAGCACATGCAAACTGCTCCCGAGGAAGGCTTTAATGGAAATCGCTTCTATTTTTTATGATGTTAGTTCCACCAGAATGATCCTTCCAGCTCAGTAGCACTTTCCCCTCGTCTCTGATCTTCCACTTCCCACTGCAGCCTCTTCTTGGAGCGGGGGGGGGGGGGCTGTCATTTAACCACACAACATCCTCCTGCGTTTGAGGCGGATGACATATTCTCAGCAAACATGAAGAATGGTGGCCTGATCTCAGCTTCTAATAAAAGAAAAGCTGGCTCTGGGGCTCCGTTACACCCACTGGCGAGTAATCCGTTGTTACACCCTCTTCCTTCCCTGGGGGAGAGTGGATAGGATGCCCCCCCTCTCCTTGGGGAATAGCATTGTCGGAATATACCAGAAGAGAAACCAAAAAGGGAGAATGTAAAATGATAAACGACTTCTTAAAGGTGACAAATCTAACACATTTCGGAAATATAAGGTGTTTTTTTCCAGGAGCAACCTTCAGAATTAGTGTACTAGTTATTGTTGGTTTCTTCTTCTTCCTCTTCTTCATCATCATCATCATCTCTCTATTGCCAGTAGCTGAAGCTTTTATTAACAATTAATAAAATGCAACAAAGTACAATATCCCAGTAACAGTAAAACCAGTAAAGATCCACTCAAAATTTAAAACCAAATGCTAACAATTGAAATACTCAGACAGCTTCATACCAGCAAAACTAAGTAAACATCTGGACAGGTTTGTTTGAATGAATGAAACACTTCAAAGGGAAAAACTACTTTGAAGGAATAAAACCTGCCTGCTAAAGATTTCTAAAGGACGAAATGTTATTTCAGATGATTCTGTTCCCGAATGTGCCCACAGTGAGAACCTTGTGGTGCCTTGTCGGGGAACACAGGACCAGAACGCAGGAGAACCAGGTTCTAGTCCCTGCTAGGCCATGAAGCTCTCTGGGTGATTTGGGGCCAGTTAAACGCTCACCCTGACTTAACTCGCTGGGTTGTTGCAAGAATCAAATGGAGAGGAGGAATAGGACGCCCTGAAATATCAATACAGAACAGTTTCCTAGCTGGGCCGCACTGAATTGTCTTTGCTAGTGCATCTGAGGACTAGTGTCCTCTTCTGCATTCTTCCTGTGCCTGGGAAAGAAAGTAGGTGGGTCAGTCCAAAGACTTGTCAAAACCTTCTCTGCATTCTCACCATTTATCAGACACTGACTGTATCTTTTCCACTTCTTCTCCATCACCATTAAGGGCTAGAAGCATGGTTTTCCACTTTGATGGATAGCTGGGATTCTCGGCATTCCAGGTCCTGCACTAGAGATTGCAAATTCCACACGTGCAAAATGGAAGGCAGCCCACCTTATCTCCTCTATTTACACACGGTGTGAGAAATGGCAGAAACAGATGTGAAGAAGAAAACCGTACCGTTTCCAAGATTCCATCGGCTTTGTATTTGCCTGCAGGGCTGAACTGCTGAATTCCAGCACACCTAAGAAAGGCAGAGAAACAAAACTGGTTTAGAAGGAAAATAGCAAAGGGTGACTGTACAGGACAGGTCTAACAGATTTTGCGCACATTGGCTTTTAGCGTAGGTTTGCATGGCTTTGTCCTCCTGGTTTTGTGCAGAGAGGGATCCCCGATAGCTGGGGTGGGAAAGGCCTTCTCTGCACATCTGCAGAAATCAACTAGACCTCAAAGAATGCTGTTCCAAGCACAGGACAACCGCAGGTCTCCTTACAAGGGGACGTACTGCTGAGTGATCGGATCACAAGAAGATCCTGGGTCAGTCGCTGGACTACTGCTGTCTTCTCTGTCCAGCAGCAATTCTAGCAGGGGCCTTCCCCTGTCATCTCCTACTGGATCCTGGAGGTAGCAAGCGAAGCCTGGGCCTTCTTGCATGTGAGCCGGGGCGAAACGTTCTGGCTCAGAGAGGCTTTTCAGTGGCCAAGGGTGGGCAGGAACCCACGTGGCACCACAGAGCTATCTACCCTGTCCTGAAAGTCCCAGATCCTGTGTGTGGCATTTCCAGGGGAAGAGACTCCTGGCAACAGGGTTGAGAAAGACCCTTTGCCTGAAGCCTTCAGTGGTCACTGGCAGCTGTAGTTTCTTGTCATGGGTCTTCAAGTTGTCCCCAACTTATGGCGACATTACAAATGCCCAGAAAATGCCCTGTCCTTTGCTGGGGTGGTGAGGAATCCACGTTTGGGGTGGGGATTCATCTGCTTCCTCGGGCACGGCTCTCCAGACTCTCCCCACTGCATGGGGCTCACCAGGAACCGAGCCCTGCGCAACCGCAGCGCAAGCGGCGTCCCTCCTCCGCGCCACGGGCAGCTGCACCGCACAGGGAAGGTGGCTCGTGGCACATCCTCCGCTCCAAGTGTTCCCGGCGGTCCCTGGGCTCGCTTTCTAAGACCAGGCTGAGAGGGGAAGGAAGTCTGCGAACACTACAGTCCATCCCACGAGCTTCATCTCAGTCCTGTCCCTGACAGTCCCGCTCAGCTCTTGCAGACTCAAGCCTGCGGCATCCTTTCGCTAGAGAAGACGGCCTGGGCCAGGACAACGCTGCTCTCACAGCCTTAAACTACTGACTGAAGGGGAAGGAAGAAGGGGAACCCCAGGGTGGTTCGGCCACCGAGGCCCATCGCGGCAGCAGCCGGGACGAAGGCTGGGTAAGCCATGCTCCAGAATGGGAGCTGATGGGAGCTGACATGGCCAGAAGGAATGGTGGCGAATGGGGAACGGAAGGAGCGGTGGTGGGGAAATGACCGCAATGCTGGGGAGGGCTATTTTCCGTAACGTGCCGTTCACTTACAGGGCAATCACTGCTTTCTTGTCGCCGCCTGCGCGCCACAAAATGCGGGCCAGGGCCAGAGCGAGGCATCTGGTCCGGTGCGCTTCCGACAGCTCGGTGCCCCTGCCACGTCGAGACAGGAAAAGAAGCAAAACACATCAAGGGGTGTACATCACACGGACACATGAATAGGTTCTGAGGGTCGACATGTGAGCATGTCCCACGCGCGGGCCCGTCGAGACATGAATGCGCCCTGAAGAACGGCTGCACAGGGACAATACTTCCAGGCACACAGCCTGCGTCTCAGCTGTGTTTGAGGAATCTGGCTGGGGGGTGGGGATCCAGCGGCTTGGTATGCTCTGTGCCAAGAATGGTGCACTTTGCGTGAAGATCTGCGGCCTTCGTGTACTTTGCACACAGAATGACGCACGTTGTGCAAAGAAGCTACGAGCGTTCCCGAGCACCGGCAGATTCGATCTCGGCTTGCTTTCTGGCTGGGGCCGAGCACGCGCAAGAGAGCTGGATTCTGCCCTACTGAGACTTCAGCAGAGACCTGTAATGGGATCTGGGCATGATGCACTGCTCACACGTGAATCAAGGCCTACTCGTGCCAACAGTTCCTCAAGTCGGAGGCCTTCCCCGGCCAATCTGCCCCATCCAAGGGGGCAGCCAGCTCAGCAGAGGCTTATGTGCCTTAAGCCCCAGTTCACCCTGCAGGTCCTATGGAAGGTGCGTGTGTGTGTGTGGGGGGGTGTGGACACACTAAGCTGATGTCATTGCGTCCCTGGCCTGTCCATTTGCATATTCTTCTGAAGTCTGGAGTCATGAGTCTGACCACAAGTGGAGAGCACGGTGTCCAAAGCTGCACTGAGTTAGAAGGACTACGTTGCATTTATACCTCCCTTTCTTCCTTCAGCAAGGAACCCAAAGTGCTAGAAGAGAAGGTTCTCCTCTCCATTTTATCATCCTGTGAGGCAGGTTAGGCTGAGAGTCCATGGTTGGCCCAAAGTGACCCAGTGGGCTCCATGGCAGAGCGAGGACTAGGCCCTGGATCCCCGAGTCTCAGTCCTGCGCTCTAACCACTATGCCAAACAGCTCGTCTGGAGGACCTTGGGCCCATCATTGTCACCGGCCTGATGTACCTCACAGGGCCGTTGTGAGGATAAAATGGAGGGTGGGTGGGGAGGAGGAGGTTGGGATATAAATGCAATACAAAAAGCTTTTGTGGCTGCGTCTTGGTAGGGTGCCAGTTCGAGGTTTTAAGAATAGCTGGTTTTCCCTGCTTTGTGAGTACGGAGAGCAGAGTCAGACAGGCCAGGGTGTTAGAGCAACCGGAAATAATTTCTGAATCAAAAGCTCCTGGAACCAGAAGCTCTCTTAGTCAGAAGGTCTGTCTGCGAACAAGGGGCCAACCCAGATGGCTGGAGCAGCAGGCGAGGCTGCAGGGATCCCACCATATTCCTTCTGCAATGGCTGTTCAGACAGAGATCAAGTGGCCAAGCTTGGACTCCTCTCCCCTGATCTGCACCACCTGTGGCATCCTTTCTCCTGACCGCTAGTGGGTGGCATTCCGTGTGGGGTCTTCCCCATTCCAGGCTGCCTCTCCTGAGCAACGGCAGTCAAGAACTTTAGCTGGCTACTATTCTTTGTATGTTGGCCCCTTGCTTCTTGTCTTGGGCTCTACCCACCATGGGAACGCACTCCCAACACCTTCAAAACAGAATGGAGATGGAGACCGGAGAGCTTGGCCTGTAGCAGTTTTTCGCTGCGGCCTGTTACCCCGGAGGTGTTGCAACGACCTCAAGAGGCATTCGGATTAGCTGTGTGTGGTGCAGGTTTTTGGTTCCTCTTATCTTTTTGCCCAGCTGTCCAACCCCCTTCAAAGAAGAAGGAAGAAGGTTCTCGGACCACACAGCCCCAAAGGTCACTGAATAACAGCATTGTCGTTTCTTTCATGTTGGATGCTTTGATTTGATGTTTAGTCTTCTTAAAACATTAGATCTTTTTGGACCAGGGATGGGAACATTTAACAGCTCTGTATCTCAGGCTGGTATTGGCCATTGTCTGAAGGTCACATGGCGCCTGCGCTGAAAACACCAAAGACTCAAATTTAGAACAGGGTCCATGGAAGATTTTTAAAATTATTTTCTTTGCCTTTAAAAGGAAACTGATGTTACATCCTTTTTCAGTTTGATTTGATCTGATTTAAAGGTCATGTGTTCCTCAGTTAAGGTGAGAATGCAACTCTTTCATCCGTGGTCAGCAAGGAAGCTGGATGGGGGCAAGTCATGGCGGGCGGGGGGACAGAGTGCAAGCCTGAAATTGATCCGCTGCCAGGTTTCCTTGGCACTGACAACTGCAGAAAACCAATTCCGTTGGCGCTGAAGCCTTGGAGCGAGTGGAAAACCAGGCTGGCCAAGAGCTACTCCATCCCTTCTCCTCCGCCACACGCCTCTCTCCCCAGCCGCCAGGCGGACACTGCCAGTGCTGAGTCCAGGTTCCTTGGGCGTGGGGCCAGGACACCTGAAAGCTCTCCTCGCCCTACGGGTACCTGCCCAGATCCCGAGGCCATCCCTTGAGGACCCCCTTTCCAAGCCCCACCTGTAGATGGTGCGGACTAAGGAAGGTCCTTCCAGCAGGCAAGGATCCCTTCTGCCGCTCACCGACAGCTGTTCCCCTCACACGTCTTATTTCAGCACATGCAGGTGTATCTCAGCCGAACACAATCTGTTCAAAGCGGTCCCAAGGATGTTTTCAGTGGGCTATTGCATATCAGGTGTGCGAAACTAGGGTTGTGCGACTCTCACTCACGTGCTCCGTACAGACTGATGTGGTTCTACACAAAAGAGGGGCCCAAGGAACTAGCTGGCTCACACCCCACACCTTTTAAATTGCAATTATTATCATTAGTAGTAGTAGTATTACTACTAGTAGTAGTTTGCTCCTCTCTCATGGAACCTGAGAAAGCTTACCCAGTTACCCTCCACTCCATCTTATCTTCACAACAACCCTCCGAGGTAGGTTAGGCGGAGGGTCTGTGACTGGCCCAAGCTCACCCCGTGGGGACTAGAACCCGGGTCTCCCCGGCCCCAGTCCAACACTCAGCGACACCACGCTGGTGCTCACTTTGCTTTTTCGGCTGCGGCGGCTTCACACGCCCCTGGGAACTGCCCTGTAGATACAAAAGGCCGCGATTCCCTCCGTGGGGGGCGAAGGAGACACGAACGGCACAGCAGGGCTTCCGCGCAAGGAGCGGGCAAACGACAGGACTGAACGCCTCGGTTGTCCCCGACAGTGACCCTGCAGGGCTCAAGCGCACACACGCACTCCCACATAACAACACGCTGTTTGGAGAAGGTTCCTTCCGGTCCGCCATCTCTCCCTGCAAACCAGCCCCCTCTATCAGCATAATGTGCATTGCATGCCCAAACGGGGCTTTTCGGAAGGGGCGTCTCAGGGGCAACGGCTCCATCAACACGAGCTCATCAATCTGTAGTTTATCTCCCTTCAATAAGGTCAAGTTCAGGAAGACCCGTTTTCCCCTCGCAACAATAGAGGGGATTTTCGTTCAATTGGGAATGGAAAGCTCTCTGGCCTTCGGAACTGTTGACTTACCAAGCGCGGCTGTTCCTGTTACTGTCTCCAAAGATAAGATGTCGCAGGACACATGCTTGAACCGCTGCCAGGATCCCGCACGGGCCACCCTGGATCGCAGCATAAGCCACGAGATGAAGGAAAACAATACATGTCAGTTGACACTTGGGTGGGAATCCTCCGAAAGCCGGAGCATTTTGTTTAGACTGCAGGCAGCCCGTCCCTCCGCCCGCCCCGAATTTATTTTGGCCACCGTTTATGCGACACCAGAGATGTTGCAAGGGAGAGAAGCGTTGTGCTTCTGCTCTGAAGTTCGCTTCCACTGCAGAGCTCAGCTTAGACTCGATCATCACCCGAGATGTAACCCTAAAGTGGGAAATCCCATTTGTTGGAGCTCCAGGAGCTCCAGGAATTCTGCCTTAGAATTCAAAGACAGGCCACAATAAGCATCTGAAATGCACAGGCCTCTAGTATGATTGGTGCAAAAGCAGTGGGCTGCTCCAAATTGCAGTTTGTGCCGCTTTCTCCTGGGCCAGTCAGCCACTTCTGCTCAGGTTGCACGGGAGGCAGGTGACTTTTGGGTGCTCAGATGTCACTGGCCGTTTCTTTAGAAATGCACAGATTGCAATTTGTCCGCAGGCTGGCGCTGCACTCACCGCGGCAAATCGGTGCCAACGCAGGGCCAGCGAAGTGGAATCTGTGGAGCTGACTTGCGAAAATCCATTGGATTTTGTTTCCCTCATCAGATTCCTTACACATCCATAATACCTTAATCTTAAACATGGATCGTGGCCAAATTCATGCTTGAGGATGGGTGCTGAGGAACTCGTGCCCAAAGCCTTATAGATAATGCTCTTGGCTATAGGGGTGTTCCTGGATTGCCCTCCTCCAGTTTTTCTTCCAGCCCTGCGGTCATTTTCTTTTGTTCCATGTATCTACTGAGCACAAGGTTAAAAAATATGGAGAGTTTGTGGCCTGAAATGTGTGTGCCAGGCCTCTGTCATACAAAGTTGCACATGAAGGGGGGATCCGCCGTGATTGGGGTCCCACAGAGTTTGGTGCACCTAGAGCTTCGCTGCAGGTGTGCAGCTGAGCACCTAGACTCAGGTACATGAGCCAACAGGCACAGTCCTTCTTCCAGCATCCTATGGAAACATGGAGGGACTGTGAGCTAGCAGGGTTTTTATATTCTGGAAGCGAAGCAGGGCACTCTCCACAGGTTGCACCTATGGAATTTGACCAGTACAGGTGAGTGAAGACTTTGTTTCAGCCTGTTTTTGTTGCAAATATGCCAAAACTCCTAACGTTCCCATTCAGGAGAGAAAGAGATTTTAGAATATTGAATGTGGGAGAAACTGGCAATATTGCCATTTCCTAATGACTTGCAAAAAGTTATCTTAATGCAACTGTGCAATCCATATTTTCAAGAGTCTTTTGGGGAATATATTTACATACGGGAGGTGAACGCAGGCTCAAACTAGTACAGCGGTCTTGTGAATGCTACTAGGCTCTTGCATGTTTTCCACCGGTGCCTGAGAAATTCCCCCGTGGTTTTTTTCCCAGTAATTCCTAGAACGTGACTTTTCACTCATTACCTTTTTTTGTACGAGGCCATACTTCAGCTGAGGATTATTGTTAAAGGCAAAGCTCTGGATTTTCCATTCCTCGCTGAAGCAGCCGAGGCTGGAGCCGAACAGCAGGATTTTTAGGTCCTTAATCGAAAGAAAAGGGAAACAGAAAACAAAGAAAAGGATAGGCACCCTGCAATTTTGAAAACAGAGATATTTGCAGTGGCGCAGCTGTTCCCTGGACTTGGAAAGGACCCATCCGAGAGGTCTAAATCTGCCTGAACTGGCGTCAACCACCCAGAGAACTTCAGCTATTGGGTGGTGCAGAAGTTAAACGAATCAGTAAAACAGTTGGGTTGCTTCTGTTGTGAAGCACACAACTCCTATTGCTTGACTTCTTCTTGGTCTGCTAGAAGAGCAATGGAACTGTCGGTTATGCTTGATCACACAAAACCCAATGCTTGGCAACCGGAAGACCCAAACTCAGAAGCATCTGGTTATCCAGTGGCGAGTAGGAAGCATGGCGGAGGCCATCCCCACCTGCCCGTCCTCCGGACTTGCCAACTGCACTCCGGGCTCTTTAGTCTTCCAGCAAGGACACTTTGGAGAGGAGGAAAAAAACCTGGAGAAGGTGCAGGGGAATTAGCTTCCTTCCAAGGGTGAGCGGCCATCTCTGACCATGGAATTAGGACTCTGAACAAAGCTGATCCCTGGGATGCTCAACCAGGGACCACATGGTTGCTTTCCTAAATTGTAGCACCGCTGTGACTACAGGAATTCATGGAATCATGGAATAGTAGAGTCGGAAGGGGCCATGAAGGTCATCCAGTCCAACCCCCTGCTAGGGCAGGACACCACATTATACCATCCCACTCAGATGGCTCGCCTGTGTGGGAGAGCCACCACCTCTCCAGGCAGCCGGTTCCACTGCCGTGTTGCTCTGACAGTGGGGAAGCTTTTCCCGATGTCCAGCCTGAACCTGGGTTGTCGCAACTTGGCTTGATTATTCCGTGTCCTGCACTCCGGCATCAGCGAGAAGAGATCTTGACCTTCCTCTTTGTGACAGCCTTTGGGGTACTTCTAGAGGGATCTCATGTCCCCCCTCAGCCTTCTCTTCTCAAGGCCGAGCATGCCCAGTGCTCTCCATCTCTCCTCACATCTCCCCTCTCGGTCTCTCCTCACCCTCGAATGGATGTTGCTTCCATTGTCCCGAGACCCCATTACCTGCCATACTCTGGGGGGCCACTGATGATGGCCCCGAGCACTGGGTCCCCAGCTTTGGTCCCAAGGTCCAACCCAAGCTGCAGCGCTGTTTTTTCTGCAACCGCTCCTAATCGGGGAAAAGGACGACTGAGGCACAATGCTTGCGCCATGAATATGGTATGCAGCCTGGTTATTCAAGCGTGGAGTCGTTTTTTCCTTTCCTTACAGCGTCCCTCCAGCACGAAAATTATGTGTCACCGCAGCAGTACCAGACTTTGGCTGCAGTTCCACTGGGGTCGGATTGTCTTAAATCATTTTCAGGAAGCCCATGTCGAGTCTAATTGTTAAAAAAAGGAGAGTGCCGGGGGAAAGAGAATTCATGCATAATTGCAAAATGTTCTAAGAGTATTTGCTTGCCGCTCCCAGCTCATGGATGTTTCTAGACTCACTTAAAAGGAAACATTAAAAAACTGAGCTCCGGGTAAATGAAAGGAAAATATACAGACCGAGGAGGACCAGCCAGAAAATGTAGCAATGTGGTGCGCTCCATCTCACGATGCCAGCCAGGCCTCTGAGCCTGTACCAGGAGACTCCGTTTCATTTTTGCTGTCGATTTCTGTCCCCGCCAATATTTGAAGTCCAGGGACCAAGGACCCCTGGGGCATCCCCCTCACACACCAAAGAGGCTTTCTTTTTGTGTTTGTGCTTCTAAAAACTTTCCCCCACCCATTCTGATACCTGCGTTTTATGCATGGATGGCACCATTTTGACAAGGCAAGGATCCATACCTTGAATTTGAGGATTTCCACAGCAGTTCCTGTCCTGTCACCCGAACCCTGACAGTGCCCTTCCTTTAAAAGGTCTCAGAAGTCCATTTAGAGGGGACAGAAAACCAGAAGATGTTCTTAACGGCCAAGAGATGCCAGGGCCCCAACTGGGAACCCAAAGGTCCCCGTGCTATGTCCTCGCTTGGTGAGTCACCATGGGCTGAAGGACATTCCCTGGCCAGCAGAAGCTTCCTATGTTCAGAAGGGAAGATGCCCCATCGGGAAGGCTTCTGGGATAATCCACCAGAGATGCTGGCCAATTGGCTGAGTTCTAAGGACTCTGGCTCATTGATTCTGGCTCCTGGCGCTCAAATCCATTATAGATTTCACAACATTTCCCATTCCCTCCTTAAAGGGGGCCTAAGCAATAATTTTAAATAAAAATGCATGGCATATTTTGGAGAGCCAGTGTGGTGTCGTGGTGAAGAGTGCAGGACTGGGACTCAGGCGACCTGGGTTCGAGTCCTCGCTCAGCCATGGAGCCCACTGGGTGACTTTGGGCCAGTCGCAGACTCTCAGCCCAACCTACCTCACAGGGTTGTTGTTGTGGGGATAAGATGAGGAGGAGAATGATGTAAGCTGCCTTGAGCCCTTTGTAGGAAAAGGCAGGATATAAATTGAAAAATAAATAAATAAACATTTTAAATGCCTTTCCCAACTATATTTAAATGCACATCCTAGGGCTCTAGAGTGCTTCCTCAGCCTCGCCCTCTCCAGAGAGTTTGGACTACAACTCTCATCAGCCACAACTAGCAGGCTGAAGGGTCAGGGATAATGGCAACTGTGGCTGAATATCTTTGGAAGATAACGGGTGATGAGACAGTCTAAGCTTCCTTTGTACAGGCAATTATCCAGACTTGGGGCTCTCAAGTTTGAATGGAGGAGTGTATGTTTACTCAACCCTGCATTATACTTGAAAGAACTGCAGAACAGTGTTTTGAAGGCCCTAGAAATGAAGAGCTCCATCTGAAACCCACTCCAGACCCACTTGTAGGTCCTGCCAGCTAACTTAAAGAGCAACCTGACGGTGCCAGGAGTACAGCCCAGGTGTTAGAGAATCCTCTGGAGTTCCAAGCCCCAGGGCCAGAGACACAGCTGCAACTTTGGAAGGGACCTCCGTACTTGGGACCTGGATACTTGAAGGAACGCCTGCGTCCATATCTGCCCTCCCTCCCCTTGAGATCGGCAGCAGAGGCCCTTCTCCGGGAACCCTCCGTGAAAGACATCAGGAGGGTGAGTACCCGGAGGAGGGCCTTCTCTGCGGTGGTGCCCCACCTATGGAATGCGCTCCCCAGAGAGGTCCGCCTGGCGCCGTCGTTATTTGTTTTTTGGCACCAGGCCAAGACCTTTTTATTTAAATGTTATTTTAATTCATTCTAACTTATTTATTAGTTTTAAATTATTGCCTGGATGTTTCCAGTTTTTTATGTATTGTACTGTTATTCATCTGTTGGAAGCCGCCCCGAGGCTTTTGCGAATGGGGCAGCATACAAGAATTCCAAACAAACAAACAAAGAAATAAATCCTTGATACCTCTCCCTGTCCCCTGGAGCAAGAATCATGCCCACTGTTTTCCAAGGTCTCAGACATCCTTGGAGGACACTGGAGAGGTATGTAAGGGGTGAACCCTACAGCTTCCCAGTCCTTGGCCGGTCCCCCAGCGTATCTCCATCCATAATGGGTCTGGAAATCCACCTATAAAGTCTTACACATTTCAGGACCCCAACATCAGATGGAATACCCTTTCCGACCACAGCTGCCATGCTCAATATCTCAGCCCTTCCTCCAATGCCATCTCCAAAGGATGCTCCATTGGTGGCGACAAGGAGAAGGGCCTTCGGTGTAGAAGACCTCAAAGGAAGGAACGATTTCTCCTCCAAGGACCACCTGGCACCAATGTCACTCTCTTTTTGGTGCCAGGTTCAGGCAGCCTTCTTTCTTGAGGCATGTACCAACTCCAAATAACACATGGGGGTGGAAGGTATTGCCCGCTGCTTTTTAGCAGGCCTAGTGGTACAGACTGGTCTTTGTTGTTTCTGTTGTCAAAATCCGGTTTCCATTCTTTTGGTGTATTTTTGTTATTTTTAATGTTGTTTATATTTTATATGGCACGTCATAGCATTTATTAACTGCTGAACACCATGCTCAGAACTTTGGCTATTGGACAGTACAGAAACCAAATCACAAAAGCATAGAATAGTTGAGTTGGAAGGGGCCAAGAAGCCACCAGGCCCAACCTCCTGCTGTTACTGGTCACCAGTTTACACCATCCCAGATGAAGAAGTCTAGAGGGGGGAAACCCTGAAGCATCCCGGAGAGGTGAGAATCATCTCCCTTGACCTGCCTGCCCTGTTGGGGGCTTCTTGCCAGAACACAGGAGACATGGAAATTTCCAACTGTGAAGGCTTCCATCCCACAGGGGCTCAACATATAGGACTATGCCCTTATTGGGTTAGGGGTAGGAGCACGGATCTTGACCTTCTTGGGTACAGAACAACCATCATTCAGCCCTCCCAGCTGTAGAACCTGAAACAGCTTTCTGCATTAACTACTTCTGTGCATTTCTTACTCTTGCAAGGTAGAAGTCAACGGGCTTTGAAGTCACTTGGAGTATACAGAGAAGGGAAGGTTTGGGAACCTGGCAAATCTCCTCCAGTGCTTCTTCATCCTCAACATCAACTAAAGTAAGGGAAGAAAACAACGGTTTAATATCCAGAACATGCGCTAAAAATCCACTCTTGCGTAACTCCCTGTCTCAGCTTTGGTAAGATGCCATGTAATATTTTCTCTTTCGGTCTTTTATTTATGTGCACATACCAGTAAAGGTGGAAGAGAGTTGTGGAGAGAGAGGAGTAGATATAGAAAATGAAAGAAAAGTAATAAAAACATTTAAGTTACTTCCTGGGTAGGGGATTCAGATTAGAAATGTATCCGAGTATGGAAAGGTGAGAGCACAAAGTTTAAGTTTAAACTTAATCAGATGAGTGTGCTGATTTTGGTTTTTCAGTTTTTGCAAATTGAAGTCTGACTTGTCCTGTACTTTGATAATTCAAAATTTCTGTGAAAATATATAAGCCTTTATTGCACCTTTCTCCTAACACATGCATTTTTCCTAAAAGTTGCAAACAGTTTTCTCAATTTAAAGCATTATAATATTTCCCTAAAATATGCATTTTTGTGTGCATTTTAAAGGGAGAACTCCATTGGAAAATTCAGAGAATATAACCAAGTTTTGGTTCACACAGTGATTCAAAAAAGTGAGTATGTTTTTTCCCTGATCCCTATTTAAATTTTAAGGTAGGTTAGTTTAGGCTCAGTGTTAGGTGACATTTCCTAACTCTAAAAGGATTTCACTTGCCCACGGAAGGTATACAGAATCTCATTTCGTGGGGCTTTCTAAAACCTTTTCCATTAAAACATTAAATGAACATAAAGAAAATCAATTGAGATTTTATAGAGAAGAACATACCAAGTTCCAAAGCATCTTTATGAAGCTGGTCTCTGCTGAAAGCGGATATAGGAGTCTTTCTGGAAGGAAAGAAAATTAAGCACACAAATTACCAACTTGATATGATTCCTCCTGAAACTTTTCTGGAAGTAAATCTGCAGTTCTTGTCTTGATTTTCTGCTGAATTATTGTATCATATAATGCAGGTGATTCAAGTGGGTATGCTGTTTCCTTTCAGGTCAGGATTCAGCTTACTTAAATGTGCTTTTTTGCAAATATCCTGGACAGGAAACCAACAAGTGGGTCTTAGATCAAATCAAGCTAGAGTTTTCTCTAGAAGGAAAAATGACAGAACTGAGGCTGTCCTACTTTGGGAACAATGTAAGAAGGCAAAGCTCTCTGGAGAAGAAAATCATGCTTGGAAAAGTCAAAGGCAGAGGAAGAAAAGGAAGGCCAAACAAGAGATGGCTGGACTCCATAAAGGAAGCCACAGCCTTGAATTTGCAAGGGCTCAGCAGGGCTGCCATGGATGGGACGCTCCACAGGGCTTTCATTCGTAGGGTTGCCCCAAGCCGGAGACAACTTGATGGCACATCACAACAGCAAAATGTGCTTTAGCTTGGGAGCTGCAGTCAAAAATGATTTCCGTAGTCTATGTCTCACCTGGAAAAAGAATGACACTAATCCACACCCAAATGCGACAACAACTTAAGGGCTGGTACCCTGGACATGTATTCCCAGTCGGGCAAAAGACACAATGAGATTACATCAGTAATGACTGACTCTTAACACCCCTCGTTTCCTCTCCCGGCTTTTCGTAGGCATGAGATCTGGGACCTCCCTAACACAATTCGGTTTACTGGCAGTCAGCTGTTTGTGCACCGAAAGACTGTAAAGCATTCCTTCGGTCGCTCTCTGCCGGAAAAGTCGCTTTAACGTGGCACGACTCAAACAGGCACCCTGAAGGACTGTATATGCATGCTTTAGAGTTGAACATGAATCACCAGCATTGGAGATGAAGCGTTCAGGGCTGAAGCAAACTGCAGATGTTCACAAGCACACAGACCGGTCTTTATGAGATGCAAATGAATACACTGGAAGGAGATAAAAATGATGTTGGAGTGGAACGGGGTTGTGTTTTACAAGGATGTTGAACAACACACTGACAGGTGCAAAAGCAGTCTAAGCGGCCAGGATGGGGCCCGCACCCACAGCTGAGGGGAGGGGCTTCTGTAAGATCATTTGGGTGGATTTCTGTGAAGAATAGAGGGTGGGGGATAAAAATAAGAGGAGAAGGGCATTCATGTTTCCATCCTGGGTTTCTTGGAGTAGAAGTTGCTCCAGAGGATAGAAAGAAAAGAAGGAGGGAGGGAGGGAGAAGACAAGGGAGGGAGGGAGGGAGGGAGGAGTAAGGCTGAGCACAGAAAAGGCAAACTATATTTTGAAGAGATGGACACCTATCTCGTACCTATTGATCAAGGGGTGAAACAAGCCTCTATTTCTCATTCTGAAAGGACAAGCAGGAAGTTCTGCTTGGACAAGTTCCTACCCTTTTGCTGCTTATTTGCAAGAGGCCTCCGACTGGCCACTGCAGGAAGAACAGCGCTGGCTGAGCTGCACCCCTTGATCTGAGGTAGCAAAGCAGCGACTAGGACAGCTTTTTCTTAAAGTCTCTGTGAATGTGCCCCTGGGCAGGCTGCCCCCAACACGCCTCGCTGTGAACCCTGGTTACCTTCAACTGGGATCCAAGTGCTGTGTTTTCCTGTATGTTTCGAACAGGTGCTGGAAGGAAGAGGAAGAGGAAGAGGAAGAGGAAGAGGAAGAACCTCTCTCCCATGTGGGCTGGACAATGTGCGTGGGCAAGAGTAGGTCGCATCTTGCTCCATCTTCCCCCTCCATAATGGGACCCCTCTTGCAACTTCACGGCACTCTGCCTTCCTCCACCTCCCCGTCCTTGGGCAACGTACCGGTGATGGTACGAGGAGAAGCACGTTACTGCGATGTTTTGGGCAGCTTAAGGGACCAGGCGTCCCACGCAGGCGATTGAGCAAGCTGGTGGCGGAAGCACAGCTTGCTCTGCCCCTCCTCTGCTTCCTTGGCTCCAAGCGAGCCCCAGAAGGAAACAGAGGCTTGAAAACCAAATACAGCTTGCTCCGTTCTTGCTTTGCCAGTCGACTTGACAAGCTCTGTCTCTCTGTCTCGGAAGTCGGCAGCTTGCTTCCTCCAACAGGTGCACAGACCCAGGACAAAAGCCCACGGAGACGCCACTGCCACCCAAACTTGTGGCAGTCTGTGCAGGGCGAGGCGTCTCCTCCTGACCCGCAAAGCAGACCAGCGGCCGAGTCAGACCATCTAAGCAAGGTGCGTCAGAGCAGGAGGCAAGGAGGCGCAGGTGCCACCGGGAGGCCTCATGGCTCGGCAGCGCACGTCTTCTCCACACCCCACCTCCCTTCTAAACCCCTTCTCTGAGGCCACTTGTGCAAGCCAGAAGCAGCAGCCATGCCCAGAGCAGAGCAGAGCAGAGCAGAGCGGGCCCTCCAAGTGTTAGAACTGGGATTCCAGAAGCTCCCATGGCCCTCTAGACCCTGTCCAGGGGTCCCAGGATGGCTGTTCCACTTCTGCATCTCCCACCCTTCCATGCAAGGAGCTCAGGAGAGCTAACATCCCAGGTAAAAACAATCCAGCACATAAACACCAAGAAAGCCATGGCACTAAAATTACAAATGCACAATAAAATGCAATAGATCTAGGCTGGGGTGTGTGTGTGTGTGTTGGGGGGCTGACCTCCTCGGGCACATTGGGTTGCATCCAATGTTCACCTAACACAGAGCCCCTGAAATGAATGGGTCTTAGATTAGTTAATAGCCCTATCCAAGATGAGCATTCGATGCAAACAAGGACACTCGAAATAGTGGGGATGAATCTAAGTGCCACGCAATCTTTGGGCCTCAGGCCGAATAAGTGTGTTTTCCTAAATTTCAGCCTTGTATCGGCAAACTAAATTTGCTGTTGGGTCCGGCCGTCTCCAATCTGCCAAGGGGATCATCTCAGCGAAAGCATCAGTGGTGTAAACTGGAATATAGTCTCAGATAAGCAAAGCTGAGGTAAGTCAGGGGACCACGGTGCACGGCCTGTGTACTGCTTTCAGTTCATGGACAACTTTGCTCAAGGGGGTCTGCGGGTGAGGAGGAATCACAAGCTGAAAGCCCGGCTCGTGCAAACGAAGGGGATTTCTGGGGCCAGAAAATATTTGGGAGAATATTACTACTCTTTCCACTTTGTCCTACGAACACGTCATCACAATAACTGGATCTCTGTGCTTTGTGCCTGCTGTGAGAAGGAAACAATCAATCAAGCTAGGAAAACGGGACAGGAAGAAAATAAGTCTTATTATAAGCAAACCGAGCAGTGCTGCTTGCAAAGCATCAAGCCTTCCCATTTGATCTCCGTGCACCGCGGGCGCTGCATTTACTTGAAGCACGGATCTTGTGGAGAAAGTTCCTTACATTTAATAATGCCCCCTTCCTTGACTGCTTCCTGCTTACATTAGCCTGTACTATGGGACAAATGCGGGCGAGGGATTTTTAAATAAACAACAGCCCCGGCCACTCGAAAATAGCAAACAGGAGGGGTTTATGGTTGGACAAGTCAGCTTGCATTGTTTCTCTTGCCAGTTTTATGGATTTTCTACTCCACTCTGCCTTGAGAAATGCATTGAGAGTTTTAAAGGCATTCCTCAAGGTTCTGATTAGATATGGGAGACCTTCATGCTAAATTCCCAGTGCAAATCCTACTGAAGTTCATTTTAAGGGCAATATTCTGTGCTCCCTCCGCAGGGAAGAACCTGGACTGTGTCACCAGCTGCCCTGAGGAGTCATTTAGGTGGCTGGCATCTTTGCCAACAACTTAAAAGAGTGTCTTTTTGAGGGAACCAAGACAAAGATCACCCACACTGCTGTATTTCCAATCATGGGGAAGGGTGGGGAAGCTGGACAGAGAAGGAACCTCTACGAAGAAACTGGATGCGTATAAAACCTGGTGCTGAAAGAGAGCTTTGCAAATGCTCTGGACTGACAGAAAGATGAACAGGTGGGTGCCAGAGCAAATCAAGCCAGAGCTTTCCCCAGAAGGGAAAAAGGTAAAACGGAAGCTGTCAGACCTTAGGCACAACACGAGAAGGCAAGACTCCTTGAAGACAATCGTGCTAGGGAAAGTCAGAAGAAGAGGGGAAGGCCATAGTCTTGGGTTTACAGGAGCTGAGCAGGGCTGTCAGAGATGTGACATCTTGGAGAGCGTTCAGTCACAGGGTGGCCCGAAGTCGGACGACTTGATGGAATGCAACAAGATTCGGGGAAACAGTGTTGCGAGGGAAGCCACCTTCCAATCACTGAAATGCTGCAGTTTCAGATCAAGGATGCTGCCAGAGGGGACAATGGTTGCCACTGTGGCATGGATGATACCTGTGCGAGGTTGCTCAGTCCACCTGCCAGGTACAGAAGTCTCACTGATGCTTCTGCAGGCCTGCCAGCGTGTCTTCCTGGAACCAGCACATCAAAGAATGTGGATTATGACAACACCTGCCAGCCATTGGAGAACCTTGCCATGATTTCATGGAACACCGAGCTGCTGTCATCACTTGGCGTGTGATGCCGCACCGAACAAAAGTGTCCATGCTGTTGCTCATAATTGTGCAGAATGACATGCACCCGGTGGCTCATTATTGTTCATTTTGTAGCTTCAGGTGTTCATTTGGTAAGCTGGTTCTTTAGTTAACTGGGCGAAGTCTGAACGGATGCCAGCTGGAGATGCAGCTTCTCCGAGCGTCTGAGCCAACTTCCATGGTGCCTGAAATCTTATCCGTTACATGGAAATACTCATTTCTTGGAGACATATTGCAAAGGATTAGAGCAAATTAGAACACAGACAGATGAGCCTCTTTAAAGTTAAGCTTTAAAGGAACAAGATGAAGATGAATAATATACCTACATAGGATTGCTTACATGTTATGCGGAATCCTTTCATCGATACTGGCAAATATTTTCAAAAGCTTAATTCCTTGTTCTGCAAATGTTTCTGGGAT